ACCACGGGCGGAGGAAACTGAGAAACAATTTACTATAATTTGCAGTGTTTACAGGGATTATGAAAGAGATTACAAATAGAGTGGGAGAACTAAAATATACGGTGGTGTATATATATATATATATATATATATATATATATATATATATATATATTTGATTTGGTTCGTGGTTTTTTTTCTCTGGTTCATGGCTTAGGCTATTTATAGCCAAAAGCAATATAATATGAATTGTAGAAAAAATGTGCCGTCCGAATTCCAATTGTAGGCGCCTACCAAAAATTCACCGTCCAAATCAAATTCACATATATATACTACTATTCATAGTCAAGCTATGAATAGTGAAAGATAGACATCCAATTTCATTTCAATTAACATATATATTACTATTCATAGTCAAACTATGAATAGTAAATGATAAGTTACTGAAATAACCCCTGAACTATTTGCCACTTGCTAATTTTGGAGACAACTTTTCCACAGAGTTGTATCTACGCTTCTAGAACAAGTCCAATATATGTGCATCTTTCTTTTTCCTCATAAATTGCATAAAGTTGTTTCTTGGCTATTTTTTCATCTCCATTTGCTACCTTAGGCTCACCAAAATATTATTCGAAGTGGAATCAAAGAGATCTAATTCGAATCAATATATAAATTAAACATGATCATGTCTGTGAAGTCTCTCCTATACCCTTTCGATCCTTTGTTTGTGTTCGTATATCCTTTCTTTTTGTTTCATCTTGCATGGATAAAACATGATTATCAATGAAAAGGTATAATGTTTTGAAGCATTTGATTATTATTTTGACTGTCTTTTATTCTCATTTCTATTTTAGGCATGACTTCAATTTCATTAGCTGTTTATTATAGATTAATGTTTAAAAGTTAGTTTTCTTTTGCATAAATTGCAGGCTACAATTGGCATTGATTTCTTGTCAAAAACAATGTACCTTGAAGATAGAACAGTTCGGTTACAGCTTTGGTATGTTTCCATGTTAGTTATGGTTTCTTTTTCTCTTTCCCAATTGGCTCTTTGATGAAGTAATATATTAACAGGCTAAATGCAAGAAATGGCAATTTATTTATATATATTATGTCACCCTGCTGTCATTTATTTCTCTTATAACATTGTCCTTTCAAATATTTTTCTTACTAAGTCATTGTCTACCTAATTATAGCAGTGTACTTCAAATTTTTATCTTATTAGGACATTATACTTTGATAATTAAACCCAATTCAAAATATAAGTGTAAATTGCACTTTTTGTCACTGCTATATCAATTTTTTTTGGATATGGTCCAAAAGGGCATCTTTTTTACTATTTTTGTTCATAACACTTTTAGTCGACGAGACATATGCCCTTAAGCCCATGTAAAATGACCAATTTGCCCCCATTTTAACGCCCATTTCTAAACGACGTCGACATCTAACTCAGGGGCTAGAAGTGTGATGAACCAGTGAATTAGTAACAAATAAGGATTCCAAAAAAATTGATATAACAGAGGGACCAAAAGTGTAATTTACTCAAGATATTATTTTCATAACGTTTAATGGCTAACATCTCAGGGATACTGCTGGGCAAGAGAGATTTAGGAGTCTGATTCCAAGCTATATAAGAGATTCATCAGTTGCAGTAATCGTCTATGATGTTGCCAGTATGTTGCACACAACTTATCACATCTTTTTTTTTTTTTTTTTTTTTTAATCCTTTTGTTGATATATCCTTTGTGAAAATGGTTTCACTTTACCCCCTCAACTTTCAAAATTTAAGCTATTTACCTTGTACCTTGGACTCGACAATGTATGGAATAAAACAAATGAAGGAAAATTTGTAAAAAATCAGGAAAGCTTTCCCTAACTTTATATGTCTGCATTAAGTCAATTGGAGACATTGATATATAGCTTACCAGATTAAGGTAGTGCTTCTTTTTGAGTTGATGGACTCGATGCATAAAAAAATTAGTGGTTGAGTTCAGCTATATATACTTAATGCTAACAAAATGTCTTAATGGGTTAAGTTAGGAAATGAATGTCCTTAACATTAAGTCATGATTTCATATTTAGTTTTCCCAAAATTGCCCTTATTTTCCTCGATGAAAATTATGAGCAACGGAGTATATTTTTATGCTTCTATATTGAGTTATTCACTAGTATTATGTTAGTAAATATATCATACAAATTTCAAGTAGTCATTATTTTTGTTTTCCCATTTTATATGTAAATATTAATTGTTTGAGTTTAATTTGATTATTTAAACTCATGTTCTGTTTAAGTCATGTTATTTTTAAAATTGAAAAATATTACTATATTAGTATAATGTTTATTAAATAAATGAAATGGTCATTTGTTATTTGTGAAATTTAAACATGAGGGTAAAATAGTCATTTGTTTTAATGAAACCCAGGGGGTTCACAGATTGTGTTATACTTTGTTGTAAGAAATAGAAATTTGTTGTTTGTTACTCTTTCAGATCGGCAGTCGTTCTTGAACACTGCAAAATGGATAGAAGAAGTACGCACTGAACGAGGCACCGAGGTCATTATAGTCCTTGTTGGCAACAAAACCGATCTTGTTGACAAAAGGTCACATTTTATAATTAACATTAACTCAAGCAAATATATAAAAAAAATAAAAAAAGGGAATTATTTGATATTGAATGAAGTTGGTGTGATTAATGGAAGCTAGTTTTATTTTTATGTTGTGATGACACAGGCAGGTTTCAATTGAGGAAGGAGATGCCAAAGCTCGTGAGCTTGGAGTAATGTTTATAGAAACCAGTGCCAAAGCCGGATTTAACATCAAGGTGCATACACTTTAAAACTTGTTTTTATTATATCTATCTATCTATCTATCTATCTATCTATGTATTTGGGGTTAGGTTATATTCAGAATCACAAGTATTGTGTAAATGTAGGAACAATTACGGATTGAAATAATCAATGATTCTGATGAGAATCATAATTAGTTATCATCTTTAATTTAAGAAGGTTTTAAATACTCAAGAATCAATCAGAATCATTGATTTTTTCAATCTGAAGCTCCAGAATTGCTCTTACATTCTCACAATAATTATCATAGCTCGAATTTGAATTTTTTATTCATTAACTCCAACACATTAATGTGAAACTTTTCAATTACTTGTTATTCCTTTTTATTTATTTTTAATAACAAAATAATAATAACTTATAAAAATCCATCTATTTGGTCTTATATCTTACAAAAAGTTTCATTCAAAGTATGGTTAAAGATAAATATTTGTCTTTTACCATATTAATTTGAATTAAATAAAAATTGTAATTTATAAAAGATGCAATATTAAACATGGTAATTAAATAATAAAGACCTACATATCTTTCAGGTCCCAGTTTTGTGTAACAAACAGAACAATAGACGTAATTGTAATTTTTTCCCACACAAAAATGTGGGATTAGGATTTGCTCTCGATCACTCTTATGTACAAAAGACGTAAATGCCACCCCTCATCCTTATCTTTTGATGTTTGCTTTTGGGTTGGAATCTTTTTGGAAACATAAATTGTCTTTCTTTTATTATCTTAAATAAAAGATGTATAGTTTTTCTTTGTTTCTTTTGGGCATTTGTCCCATTCAATTTTTTTGGAATTCATGTCAGTTTTGTAAATATATAGAAAATAAAAGGACCATTTGGTGGACATTTGTCCCATTCAGTTATTTTGGACTTAATCTTCATTCTGTAAATATATAAAAAATGAAAGTACCTTTTAGTCATAAATGTAAATAAAAATGACAGGTAACTATTTGTTGCACTTATATTTATGTATTGGTAATATAAGATACTCATAGTGCTAAAGCCAAGAGATAGCAATGTATTTTTATTTATTTGTATTACAAGTTACAACATTCTACTTTCATTTCTTCCTATCACAGCATTGTACTTTGAAAAACCTACCGAATTATAGCATTTTACCTTCAATCCTATAATTGGGTAGATTTTTTGCTATAATAGGAAGAAATGATAATAAACAAATGAATGAAAGTAGATTGCTATTTCTCCCTCCCTGATCATGATCATAATACATGAAAATTCAAAATTGGCAGCCTTTATTTCGGAAGATTGCTGCAGCCTTACCAGGAATGGATAATCTTTCATCCACAAAACAGGAGGATATGGTCGATGTCAATTTGAAATCTTCCAATAATGCGTCCCATTCGGATCAGCAAGGTGGAGGCTGTGCGTGTTAGATCCCCACTGAAATTACGTTTATAGCCCCCCTGTATTTGCTCAAACACATGAAATATTTTTCCATGCCAAAAATGCTTTTTAATTCTAATGCTTTAGCAGTCAAGGCTCATCTCATTCTCATTCTTACGATGTTTAGGATGAAAGGGGCATTTATGTCTTTTGCACATACGAACCAGTCCTTGTCCCATCTTTTTGGTCGGGACAAAAATTGCAAATTTTGTCTCACTAGTTCGACTTCGAGTGAGTCAAACACAATGTCAGTTACGATGGGTAATTGCTTTTAGGGCTAAATTCAATAAATAACAATCTACTTTTATTTATTTTTAGTTGCATTTTTTTTTATTATATTATGCCATCGTATTTTGAAAAACATACCAGATTGTAATATACTACTTTCAAACTTTTTTTTACTGACACTACACTCTTAAAAAGCTTCTTGGCTATAGCAGTAAAAGTTATTGTATATTGAAACGACAATGGTAGATTTTATAAAGCATAATATTGGAATATGAAAAATTGTATAATCAACCAATTAAATAAAACACGGTTTTTCTTGTATTTAACACTTCTTTTTATTAAATCCACGTAAGAAAAATGACACGATATTACAACTACTGTAGTCAACACTCCCTTATAAATAAGTGTATAGGGTTTCCTAAAATTTTCACATTCGGTCTATTTGGAATGAATGGACCTAAAGTTTTGAGCAATAGAAATTCTACTAGAAATATCTGAATGGACATAAAGTTTCCAACAATAGAAAATCAACTAGAAATATCTATTTAATTGATATCAGTTTCGGTCCAATATAATTCGGTCCAATACATTCTTATAACAGCATCAAACGTTTCCAGATAAGACCCGTATGCATCTTCCTGAAACAAAGAAAAAAAAAAACAAAACAAAAAAAATCAATATAAGCAAAACAACATTCATAAACACTCACTCGATCCACATAGATTTGAACATAAGTGAATAAATAAGCCGGTCCGAGTCCGAGCAGAGAAAAACCCTGCAGGGGCGACCTGAGAACACATGGCGGAATGTGATTTGTTGCACATTTAACATGTGTTCCCATGTCGCACCTGTTGGATGCCTCTACCATTTGTTTATTTTCTTTGGTTGTCGCAATATACTTGGAGATAGCAAGGATTATATATATAGTAATGGTCAATTGTGTACTACAAACTTGTATGGTACTATCAATGCTAACTAGTAATTACCAGTACAACCACTCGTTGTACTCCATAGGATATATCTGTACTTTGCGTCCTACTTCAATACAATTCTTCATGAATTATAATAACATAAAGAGTAAATTACAGTTTTAGTCCTTATAGTTTGGTCAAAATCGTAGGTTTAATCCAAACTTTGAAAAGTTAATAAATTGTGTTCCAAAAAATTACAGGGTTGGTCCTTGGTCTAAATAAAAAACTATTGCACCCTTTCTAATTCTTTTTTCTTTTTTCTTTTAATATTTTTTGATTTGTAATAAATATAAAAACCACAAGGACCCAGCACCCCACCCTTACCATTACCCTCACACGTACCCATAACCCTCTTCTTCTTGCATTCATGTCATTAAACAATATAGTCTTCTCATCACTTCTAACTTCCCACAATGCCTACCACCACCTCTACAACTCTTGACAACCTCCAACTCATCAACACTTGCCTGACATCTTTTTCTTTCTAAAAAAAAAGTATAATTCGTACTGGAAAACAAAAAGATATAAGAACATGACAGAAGATATTGATTTGGAAAAACTAACGCCGACAAATCAATGTGATTTATGTCAATCATCGACCCCAACTCCACATCATTAAAACGATCCCATACCTATCAAAACCACTCCTTTCAAAATTTTTTAGCTAAAAATAATAAAAAATAATAACCTAAATAAAAATATAGAGATGAGAATCGTTTCAAACGAAAATCATAATCAAAATCAAAATAAAAGCCTAATAACAATACCTAAATCAGAGGCGGTGGTGGGTTTATGGTTTATCTCAATATGTAGTACGAGGATCACCCGAAGGGGATGATTCGATGTGTGGGTGGTGCTCTTGCATACTTGCAAGAGGAAAGCAGAGATGGTGGAATTAGAGTGGGTGTCAGATGGTGGAATTAGAGTGGGTGTCGTTCATTTATGTTCTCAAGTATGGAACCGTTGGCGTTGATTCCTATGGTCAACTGCAATGGGAAGAAGAGTGAGCGGAGAGATGAAGATGGTGAAGAAGAATGATGCTAGTGGTGGTTGACGACGTATATATATAATACCGAAACAAAACATAGTTTTAGATGAATACAAACAGATCAAAAAACTTTATAACATTTACCATATGTTTTTATTTAGAGAAAACTAAATAGTTTGAAAAAACTCACCAAAGTTTATTATGCAAATAATTCTTTTCCATGTATTTTTATTCGGTTTAACCGGTTTTATTTTGACCGGTTCAACCGAGTTTTTCTAAAAACCGGCCGTTTCAATCCGGTTTAGAAATCAACGTAAAACCGGTGATAGTTGAACCGCTCCCTCCCCCGGTTGGCGGTCCAACCGGTTCAAACCGGTTTTTAAAACATTGTGGAGGTGAGATATTCGGTGGAGAGGAATGACGTAGAGTTCTCTATTAGAGAAGTGGAGACATCCTATTGGATGCTGTTGGAGGTGATTGCCAGCAATCTGGCAGAGACGATGCGGTGCAAGCTTTGTGGAAGCAATTTGGCAAAGCAATTAATGGAGTGATAAAGGAAAAAAAAACCCACACACACTGTTGACCACCAAAAATAAAATGTGCAAAATTAAAAAATAAAAAATAAATTTTTTTGGACCAATGAACAGCAAGAACTGTTGATAGAGAAACAAAGAATTAATATTATTATACATATAAATATTTATAATGCCATGAGGTATACATGACACGAGCCATATTTATGGCCAAGTGGCATGGATGCCATGATCGTACGTCCCATCCTGAGAGTGTTGTTGTATAACGGTCATGATGATTCATTGTGTTTACAACTAAAGGGAAAAAATGGTTCAAGTCTCTATTTATAAAGATAAAATGGTTCAGTTACAATACAAGTTTTATTATATATTATGTACTAGGTGTAAGACCCGTGTATTACACGAGTTTCTTAAAATAAATAAGATAAAATTTTGAACATCAACGGATTATTAAAATAATACAACAAATATAAGTGAAGACTTTATTGAATAAGTATGTAATTGAACCGAAAATACAAAAAAAAAAATCATTAACGAAATATGCTAAATAAGTTTTAGAAATCATAAATTTCCAAATACTTCTTTGAATACAACTTCTTTAAAATCATAACCGGGAATAGAAGCACCAAAACGTAATAGAAACCCACATTTACAAACAAATGCATCTTTAAGTTCAGAAACTGAAAACACATTTTTACAAACCATTTTATGCTTTAAGTTTATAATTAAGCTACTTGTATGTTATGGTTATAAAAAAGCTGTTTAGAATTTTTTTTTGTAAAATCTGGTTTTCCATGTAAATTTTAGGTTAAGAAACACTCATCATCCCCTGATGACATTGAAATGTCAATAGTTGGGAGTCTTTGTTAGATTGATCTAAATTTTGATAATTTGAAGCAGAGGATATTAAGTAATATTCATTTGCATGTCATGCTATCGTTATTAAATTTATAAGTTTGATTATTAATAACAAAACAACCATACATACATAGACATGCACCATATTTATCATACACACATGCACCATATTTATCATACACACAGTAACAATTTAAAACTAAATAAATGACAACATTTAATAAGGAAATCATAATACGTACTTAACATAAAACGAAAGAAAACAGAATTTCTGAAACCAACAACGAAAGTATTCTTAACCAACCATAAAACCTCAAAAAATATTGTTGGACTGGAATGTTAAATAAAAAATGAGAAACGGAAAATTGTTTGAAACGTTAATAAGATCTCACTTCTCGACTTTAGGAATCAATAGTTGCGTGGACACAACACTTTCCTTGACACCAATGGATTTTTTTTGAAGGTTTTGTTGATGACTCACAAACAGTATCTTCAAGAGCGTAAACATCTACAAGTTTACGTTTCGCATTGGTCGGTGGTGAAAGGAGGCTAGTGGTGTCGTGGTTGGTTGATGGACTCATTGAAATGGTATTTGGAAAAGTAGAGATAGGAGTATTATCAGCAACGAAGGAAGCAGAACCCTTAAATGCAAGAATTATTATATGTTAAAGATTGACATAGGAGTAATGTAAAACAACGAAAGAAAGAAAAAAGCAGGAAATTATACCTTAAAACCAATTGTATCTTGAGAGTTGAAATCTGATACCACGACATTAACAGACTCAGTTTCAATGTCCTATTTAACAGATTGTAAATTGTATTTTAGATTGGCAAATATCAACTATATAAAATGTAATATGTAAATGGATTAAGATTTAGTTGTAGTTAAACCTGTTCAATGTCGTTTGCTTTTTCAAGCTTCTCGAGAGCAGAAATTATGTCAACGTTATCACTTATCTTTGATATGTTGTAATTACGAATGTATTTCCTTCCACACGTATAGCGCTTGACTATAATTTTGAAAGCCATTTTTCTACCAATAAGTTCATTAATCTCAACAGGAAAACCAACAATATTACCCATCTACAAAAAAAATGTAAATTAAACAAAAGTTAGAATGAAATTGTAGAAATGATTACAATAAATTATGGATTTTATAAAATATACCTTTTCATACTTTTCTATCAAATCTGATGCAGAAATGTTTAGAATACTTCTAACATCCCGGTCAAACAGAGTAAGTGTCACTACTCCTACCAAGCCTTGTACTCGAATTTTGAGCATAAAACTAAAGTATTTAACAAAGAAATAAATTAATACAAATTAGTTAAATATAATAATGAAAGAATATTAAATTTCTTATGATACCTTGGTTCAGCAACTATGACTTGTCCTTTGCACTTCTCATGTGTACATACCCATGATTCATTCTCAGCCACATGGTCCAAAACATTGGATTGTTCAAGGGGCATTTTTTGAACCTTTCTCTTACAGTTCTTGCAAGCTGGGTAGTACCATTGCTGACTATCTTCAAACATCTTAATTGTGCCAAGAATGATGACATAACTCCCCTATAGTAATAAGAAATGATGATGAGTTAGGAAAATCAAGTATTAATAATTAAAGATTTAATAATGTAAATATACCTCATCTAATTCATGGATCATGGAAATTTGGTAGAACGGATTATTTTTAAGAAAGTCATCATGTGCAGTATACATGATGAAATCCGTAGCACGAGAACATGAAGAAGCCGATCCACTTTCTTTTTCATTCAAACTATTTACAAATAAAGTGCAAGTATATTATCAATAAAAAATATATTTAGTTTAATAGTAATATATAAAGGACTTGATTGTAATATAATCAAACTTTTTTTTGAAATCAATAATTTCTTCAACTTGCTCATCAATGAATAGTTTTGTTGCTAAATATGTGTTATTCACATATGCACGACCTGAAAAGAAAATGAAACAAAATGTTGGATTAAATTATTTCTTATATAAATATTGAAAATGGTAAATATAAAACATTTTATTAATAAAACGACCTCGGTGATTCTTCAACTTAGCACATTGAATAATCATTACAAAATTTCCCCGGTGTTTGGATACATAGGAATCAATTTGTTCAGCGTAATCTCCCCACAAAGTAGCAAAAACTTGTCGTCCCCTAAATGTATATGAATTAAAACAACAATTTTAAAACTAATAATACACAAGTCATGAAAGAAACATACTCTAAATCTTCCAATTTCAATGTAATCCTTTTATCCAATTTTTGGGTTGCAGGTTCCAGTGGATAGCATTGAAAAACATTACCAATGACATCTATAATATACACGATGGGAGATGTTAGTATATAAATAGTGTTAGGATGGACAATTTATATACAAATAATACAATATGTAAAACGTGAAATCAACGTTATGAACTTACCAAAAGAAATAGTTGAAGGGATAACCTTATCAATAAGATCTTGGAAGTTTGCAAAAGAAAAATAATTCTTGGGCCCATTAAAACCAATGCACTTGGTTACTCTAGTGTTATATTGGAAAAACAATTTGTTTTGAGTGTCAACGAACTTCATAACACCATCAACATATAAACCAAGTGTTGGCTTATGAATGTAAACATCCGCATATTCTTCAAGTGTTTGCCCCAATATCACATATGATTTGTCCACAGTGCATTCAATTTTATTGCCCTTCAAAAACAATCCTCCTTAATAAATAAATAAATAATAAACAACTATAATATTAACATGGATAGTGTATAACTAATTATATGATATTATGAAATCATTAAACAGTTTAAAAGCAATTCTTTTTAAATACCTCTTCATCCATCAAAATCATTCCGATTTGTCGTGTCTCATGTGGTTTCGCCCAAATTGTTTGTTTCCAAAGCCTGATTATTCGGACCTTAATTGTGTAGTTGTCATTTGAGAGACCTAGATCATTAATCATTGTGATTTCGGTTGGGTCCATGAGCTGTAAAAGAAATATAAAAACTAAGATTTTGAACAGTTGCATGAAAAAATAAAATAATAAGTATATTAAAAAAAAGGACCAAAATGCCCCTTCACATATTTCCCCTGTTCAGAATTACAGTTACATAAAAAGAAAATTATTTTATGTTCAGAAAAAAAAGAAACATAAGGCATTTTCTTAAATTTGACATATGGCATTTTGGAGAATTGGAACTTATATTTAGATATTTCATATACAGAATTGTACCGGCTGGAAAGAAAGAAGATATGCTTGATCAAAGACATAATTCAGATTGGTGGTCCATCATGGGATTGGCTTTCGTATCCTACAGCTATCTATGCACTACAAAACAGTCTGTTACAGATTTCCTACAGAAACCTTGATTATATCGTTTTTTCAATGTTAAAGTAGACAAAATTAATTTTCACAGAATTCTTCACATATATGATATTAAGGTATTATATGCTAGATCATCCTATGATACATGCTTTCAATGTTTGTAAATAACAGAGAAATTATAATAATTGATTGCAGACAGAAGCAATCTATTCAAAAAATTGTTGCCATGTTCATACTTCTTTTACCAGCTGTTCTTTTAATCATTGGGGAAGGATCTAGAAAAAGCTATGGAAGTGTTAATCGTGATTGTTCAGAAGTTCCTAAGAATTTCAAAACATCTGTGATTCCTAAAATATATCATTAGCAATCTAAATTAACAGAAGTGATGAATCCATAGATTTTAAAACATTTATTACGTTATTAAGTTATGGTTCTTTAAGCTGCAAGATAATATATATTGTTAATTGGAGAAATAGGTAAAATATTCTATAAAAAAAATGGAAAGATACATATGGACAAACAATTTATTGTAATATTTCTCAAGTGGAGAAATAGGGAAAAAGGACAGTGAATTATTTTTCTTTTATTCCCTTTTAGCCGGAAGTGCCATATGATAGTTAATAAGAATATTCTAAAAAAAGGACCAAAATGCCCCTTACCATATGCTAAACAAGATACGATTTGTCAGTATTTCTGATTTACACATTAAGCACAGGGGCATGATTGTACTAATTCAGAATCTTCTCAGGTCATTATATAAAATATTAATAGACCTACATGCAAATAAGAACCGGACTGAAGCTACTTGTTTGATCATAATAGTTGCTAAACTGATGCACAGTGAATTATTATTTCTTGATTCCCTTTAGCTGGAAGTGCCATATGATAGTTAATAAGTACATTCTAAAAAAAAGGACCAAAATGCCCCTTCCCATATGGGTCTCACACCAGGATTCAGATATGTGAGGGCATCTTCAATATTTCCAATGAAGAAAATGTTGAAGGCATTACATCGAACACTTGGCGGACATATTAAAAAAGGCCATATTACAGTATGTGTTGAAAAAAAAAAGACAATCTATACATAACAAAAAATGACATTACTGACCTTTTGTGGCTGTTGGAATGCTAATTCTGATTGTTGAACAGACTTGATTTCCAGCGTCAAGAAGAAGACTTGGGCATATATGAATGAAATTGAAAGAAAACGATAGATGAAAAGTATTATATATAGATGAAATTGAAAGAAATTTTAGGAAATTATTACCTATGATCAGTAAAAGATGAACGATTTTGAATGATTGATGCCATACTAAATATATATCATATAAAATTCCATATAAGTCCATATAACATACACAGAGAATACTTGAATAAATGGAAGAGATGTGATTTTGAAATGCATAAATGAAATCCACCGTGATTGGAGGCTAATCGGTTGGTGTTATAGAATGAAAACATATCTTTGCTTTGTTTATGGACAAAAATTTAGGAAACAATTAACATTACGTATACGTGTGTTTGAAGGGCGTGTATCTGCATTATATACTGATTAGGTGGCATCTTAATAAATTGACAAATGGAATAATAGGTAAATGAAAAATTAAGAAAATGCCATATGTCTAATTGCATGAGAAGTTGACAAGTGGCAATAGGATTGTTATTTATTAAGGAGGATATCATATATTATGACCCAAAAAATAATGAGTAAATAAGAAGGTATATTGTAACCTCATGATGTAACAACAACAATATTTAAGAAAATGCCATATGTCCAATTGCATGAGAAGTTGACAAGTGGCAGTCGGATATAAGACCATGTGGGGGAGCCCGTGACATTCCTAGGTAAAGACCATGTGGGGGAGCCCATGACATGATGGTATAAGACCATGGGGGAAGCCCACGACATCCTTATATGTTTATGTATGTGTAGGTAGTATGATAGATATCTCTGTGATATAGGATATGCTAGTTGATTATGTATGTTCCTGCAGGAAAGACTCCAGGGGGAGCCCATGTCAGTTGGATATAAGACCATGTGGGGGAGCCCATGACATTCCTAGGTAAAGACCATGGGGGGAGCCCATGGCATGAAGGTATAAGACCCTGGGGGGGAGCCCACGACATCCTTATATGTTGTATGCATGGCTTATGTGACATGTGTAGCTTTTATAGCTAATATGATGTGTTATGTGGATTGTGTGTGGGGTATGCTCTGGGGGACTCACTAAGCATTAGCTTACAGATTGTGGATTTGTTTCAGGTACATCTGAGCCCAAGGGCAAGGACAAGGCTTGATGGCGCGGCGTGCACTCTCTCAGATACTTTTATGGGACCCTCTGATGTTTTGAAATAAAATTGTAATTGATATGAGTTTTGAAAACAATTGTATCTGGATTTCACGGTTTATGGGAATGTGTTTTGGTTAATCAAAAATGAAAAATTTTCCTTTGAAAAATGGGGGCGTTACAATCTTCAACAAAAAATTGGCTTTTATAGAAGAAAAAACTGGAGGTTCTATTATAGCAAAACATAGCACTTTAATTTGAACAATGATTCAAATTTGAAAACACAATGAAAAGTGATATAAATGAAGTCAAATATTCATAGGGTCAAGAAAATTTAATATTTTTCAAAGCTTAATAAACGTTTGCTTTTTGTATTCATAGATGACTGACAACTCATTTGAACAAAAGCTTACAATTTTGTCAGGACAATCACAGAAACTCGAAGTAAGAAACTATTACAATATTATTATACTCTTAAACTTCATTATTATGTTTATGCTAATAGTTGCCTTTTAGGTAACTATAACAAGTTCACTAAATATAAACATTAGGAGAAGATGGTAAAAGTATCATTATTCTGTTCATGTAATAGTTACCTTTTAAAAATGTCTTATATGTCATTATATTTTTGATTTTCTCTTATTAGAACATTTAACTTTGGAAAACCTACCAATTTGGACTTTAGTGTTATAATTAGGTACCAATTTCAAAGTACAATGTTGTAATAAGAATAAATGAAACTAGGATGTTGTCATAAACAAATTAATAAATTCATCATACTATATACAACCAAACGGTAACTACAGATTTCTTTCGTTTCACAGACATAATCTTCGAATTACCATCCGCTTATCTCAGTTTGTCTTATCTAACTTTAGTTCGTCCCCTTGGATCTGCAAGAGACAGATTGCTTTTGTTTCGGGACTTCTTTTTGTATTTCTACTAGATTTGCTTTAATTATATTTCTATTTCTGGTGTCGCCTTTTGTGATAAATTTGTTGATATATTTCTTTCTTCCTCACTTCTCCATGATGTTCATAACCAAAAACCTAAATGTCTTATTTATTTATTTGTTAATTTCAATTTTCAGATTAATTGCTTCTACGGGCAATCTTTAATTTCATGATTTTTTCGTTTATTGAATTTTGATTTATGATTAGGGGTGATTTTGGTTATAAATAAATCACACGGTTGTACATTCACGAGTTAGATGATAAAATGGGTAGTCTTCATGGTCCAATCCTGTCAACAAGGCAAGCTAAGAAGTAAATGGTGAAATTTTTTATACCTTCATATCGTTTTAACTCTTTAACTGGCTTGTTAATGGTTATATGATTTTTTAGGTCTATAAACTTTCATGTGATTCATGCATCTTCAATTACGATTCTAATTTACACTTCACTTTCCGTCCGCCTTCAAGTTCATTCCCTTTTTAGATAGTTTGTTTCTTCTCTTTACTGAATTCAACATAGAATTCACAATTTAGGAACACAAAATAAAAAAATAAAAAAATTAATTGTTTTTGGATGAACCAGATTGATTAGGTTTTTGTTATGTGTCCTTAGTCTCACATTATAAAACCAAATACTAGGGTCCCCAATTTCAAATACAAAACAGAGTAAAAAAAAACGGCTACTCTCTATGTTCTATCCTTTGGTATATGCCACAAGTAATAATGAATAACCTGTTAACAATTGATTTTCATCCACCATTTTCATTACTCTTTAATTTTATGATAATTTTGATAGTGTTTTGTCAGTGAAGACAACAGTCATAAGAACACAAGTAAGGCTTATACTTCTGCATTCATCCACCATTGCACTTTTACTGATTTGGAGGTACTAATTTTATTTTTAGTACCAAAATTTGTTATAATTCGTCCATATTTAGGATCTTTACCCTAATTAACAAGAAATTTTGTTTGGAATCATAATTCTTACTTCTATTTTGCAGTATGATACAAAATACAACTATGATTGCTTTTTGAGATTTTGGAGAAGGCTTTGCTATGATCCGAATTTATCTTGGTAATAGATAAGAGGTAACAATCCATCAATTCTTTTTGAGAGGTAAGGTACTAATATTGAATCTTGAGGTAAGAAGTTTTGTTTCTGTTTCTCTAATTTTTGTTGATATTGATTTACACATTCTGGTATGTGAAAATCAATTTCATGATTCTATATCTTGATGTGTATGTTATTAGTGTAATTGAATTATTTTTATTCGCATGTAATGTTTCTGCATCTATTCATCAATATAACATTCTTGCTTTCATATAAGTTCTATTACCAACTTCTTCTCTTCTTTTTTGTATGCAACTTCATGACTATTTGAAATTATGATGAGAGTAGCCAAACTGTTCATAGTTTCATTTCAATACTATTTAATGATTCAAAATAGTATTTTTCGGTTATGAGTTAAACTAAATTAAATAGAGAAATCAAAGTAGGCTATTTTGATGCATCTTGGATTATGTGTGTGTTTGTTTGTATGTGTGTGTATATTCTGTTGTGTGTGTATATATCATTTTGAAAGGTAAGGTACTTATATTCAATTGTTGTTTGTTTTGAGTGTTAGATTTATGATATATAATTGTAAAATTATTAATCACCTAATTTTTGTATTATGTTTCTTGAAGTCAGATCTAAAATCACATTCAAACACCATGTAGGTGTATATGTTTGTATAAATTATATTACTATACTTTTATATCATCTTAAACTCTTTACAAAAGAATAAAATGATGTTTGAATCGTATAAATGTTAGAAAAAATAATTGTAAGATGTTATCATTGTTGTTTGATGATGTGGACTATTTGGGGTTCTAATAGATTCATGCATGGTAATGTTTTAAGTCAAATTTTGAAAGATTTCAAATCAAAGTCATACAATGGTGAAATTACTTTATTAAAAAAATACAATATGAGAGGTAATAATAAAAACAATTACTTACAATATATGATATGGAGATTTATAATGTGTTTATTGCTTCAACGTGAGGAATAAATGCAAGATCTTCAACGAAAAATTGGCTTTTATAGAAATGGTAGACAGAGGGGGATGTTACAAATGGTATCCGAGCTAGGGCACAGGTCAATGTATTCGACAGGACGTCGAACCCTATAATGGGGGGTGAAGGTGGGTTGCACCTGATCTCACATCGGCTTGGAAGGAGAACGAAACATTTCCTTAAAAGGGGTGTGGATACTTTCCTTGTCACAACGCGTTTAAAGCCGTGAGGGCAGCAGATCCCATAAGAACTCTGCAGTTAAGCATGCCCGGGCGAGAGCAACTCATGGATGGGTAACCCCCTGGGAAGTTTTCGTGCCGAGAGCCCAAAGCGGACAATATTGTGATACGTGCGAGAGGAGGATGTTACAAATGGTATCAGAGCTGGGGCACGGGTCGATGTGTTCGACGGAGACGTCGAAACCTATAATTGGGGTGAAGGTGGGTTGCACCTGATCCCACATCGGTTTGGAAGGAGAACGAAACATTTCCTGAAAAGGGGTGTGGATACCTTCCTTGTCACAACGCGTTTTAAAGCCGTGAGGGCAACAGATCCCATAAGAACTCTGCAGTTAAGCGTGCTCAGGCGAGAGTAGTACCGGGATGGGTGACCCCCTGGGAAGTCTTCGTGCCGAGTGGCCCAAAGCGGACAATATTGTGATACGTGCCAGAGGGGGATGTTACATATAACATCCTGCTTTCTTTTCTTTATATTCATTTTATTTTGAAAAGCCTAGCTTATTATAGTAATGCATCTATATATGAAGAAATTTTCACTGTTATAGATGATTAGATTTTTGAAAGTATAATATTCTAACAAGAAAAAAATTAAACGTACAATTCTATAGCCAGACAAATTTTTTATAGTTCAATGTTTTAACATGAAAAATCTTGAAAGTAGAATGATGTAATAGAAATAAATGTACTCGGTTATAGCAATGTCATCCAAATACAAAGCAACCAGATACATGGTTTATACCTTTGTGAGACCAAGTACATGGTTATCTCAAATAACTGTTGGTATAGTATACTTTTGTTACCATATTATTATTTAATTCATTACTATATATAAAGCTAAAAAATTTGGACAAAATGTGTTAATGGGTCAACTTGACATGTTTGACATATATTAAAACTCACATACTCAACCCAAATCTATTTTATCATGTTACCCAAACCGCCCAACCTGCTATTGTTGCCACCTGTACACTTTCCTCCCATGTGTCGATGTTAGAAGGTATTCGAGAACAACACCACAAAGTTGAGGACTGAAAGGAAGAAATATATGAGGGGATATATGTAGAAAGTTTGGACTTAATAGGAAAAGCTTACACATATGTAGTCTTTTTTGTGGGTTAGTTTTATTTGTTTACATTTAAGGGGTCAAGTTCAGATTTGGAATTGGATTCGAATTCCGATGCCGATGACCATGATCCTCAAACAAGATCTAGAGCTATAGATGAAGCAAATGTGAGAGTGCAACAAGAGAGACAAGATGAAATAACTTAACATCAAAATAACAACCTGATGAGTTTCAATTGCCAACAGAGGAGGTTTACTCCAATCTTTTTTTATCCTTTGTAGTTAAATGACATCTTATGTTGCATTTGCTTCGGTAGTGTTTGGTGTATGATGGAATCAAGGGAATGAATAGAGTGATTCATTCCATTGGAATGAAAAAGAAATTGTTTGTTTTCCCTTAATATTGTTATATTTTGAGCATGTAAATGTACAATTATGGCGTTATTTGTTGTGCACCTATTTGAAGCAATCACATTTAAATTTGTTGAAAATCCTGAAACATGCGAAGCATGGGCCACATTGGTTTATAGTTTGTTTCCATATTTATTGGTTATCGTTGACTGTATTCGTGAAGAGATGAAGGAAGAGCTTGAGGCCAAATTTTAAAAAATGAAAGAGGAACTTTGATTGAGGCCAAAGACAAGAAATTGCTAAGACTTTGATAATTTAGACTTTCTTGATTTAATTTTAGTATTTTGAAATTGAATATGAATCTTTAGTGTTTGTAGTTGACTATTAATGTTTTGCTCATTGAATATATAATAATTGAGATTTATGGATTTTGAATATAAAACTTCAATTATATATCTAATGTTTGTTACAAAATAGCAGCATATTTGACACATAATGGACCCAGCTAATTATATTATGGAGAACGATTAGCAAAGAAAATTTATGACTGAAATACAAATTTAACTTCCAAATTATGATGATTGACATCATCAAATTAACGAAGGAATTACATCATAAATTACTTGTTTCCTAACCTTTTTCACTATAGAAAAACAAGTAGCTAACATAAAAATGTCTCTCGCTAATTTTGTCGTGAACAACCAGCAATGCAGATTTTTCCAACTGTTTATTTATGTGTTAATATGCTTCTATTAGCCATTAGTGGCATATTTATGATGGAAATGCCGGTCTCTATACCCCTCCTAATAGTAAAATACATCAAAATACTTTATGGCATCAAATGCTCTAAATATATTATGGTATCAAATGTACAAAAATACCATACGATATTGATTTAAATGCTTGAAAAATTCGACTTTCAAGTTGATTTTCTTCAACGAATGAGTGACAGGATCTTGAGATCCCACTACTTTCTAAACCGAAATCCTCTAAAAACATAGAGTATATTTCAAAAGTTATGGATCATACGAAGCAATATCCATAATAAATACATCAACTAAAAGGACAATGGTCGGAAACTCTAAAAGAGTTCGGTCTACAATGAAATCTCATGGATTATATATAATTCCAAATATCCATCTTCTTTTGAACATTAGCTTGTCTATTGGTTACAAAAGCATCTAGTACAAAGCCACTAATACAACCCCCCCCCCCCCCCCCCCCCCCCCCACCCCCCCAATCGTATATTTCCATAAAGAAAACTTGGTATCACAATCTAAAACAAAAAACATACTTCGTTGAAAGCATGTGGGATAATCGAATATAACCTGGTGAATGTTGTGTGCAAAATCAAATAATATGAACATATATTTGGGGATAAATAATCGATTATGACTTTGAAAGTCGAAGGGGTAAAATTGATCTTGGCATATATATTATAATTATATAACACGAGGGGAAAAAATCGATTTAAGAACCCTTTGTCGGGCTATGAGAGAAATTGATTTGGGCAAAAGGTTTTGAAAAATACCATTTTTTATAAGAAAAAAGATGATAAAAAGAAGCAAATAGAGCCACCAAGAAAACATGAGTTTTGATAGAAACTTTGTGTTAAAAAGACAAGCCACTAATATATATTAAACTAAAGTTGACTATATGAAAAGATATAGAGGGATTACAATAATACGTGGAGGAGAGAGAAAATCATCTTCAACAATTGAGGGTGGCCACGGGCTCTACGGATTACATAGATAAAGTTTGAGTAGAGTTATTGATTTACCATTCAGGACATGGATTGCCTTCTTTTTAATCTAAGCATAGAACTGATTCTCTTTTCTTTTTCTTTTCCCTCTCTATCTTTCACTTTTCCATCTCTATTTTCATTTGTATCGAATCTCCCTTGAAACAATGTAGATCTTTTGATCTTATGCCATCCTAAAATCCAACCCGACAAAGCATTCTGCTTATTTCTCATCTTTTCACAATCTTGTTGTAAATTTGTGTAGTCCTTTTGAAGTTCTTTTATTAAATCCATCATCTTTTCCAGTTCTACTTTGAGCATTTTAATTTCTTCTTTTGGAGAAGCGCCGTCGTCTTCCTGCTCTGAAGAATCATCGTTTCCTGTTAACCGCTTCTTGTGCATTTCTTCCCTCAGCTTTAATTGCTCCGCAAGCAATACCTGATTTGGTTTTTCTTTTAGAGTTTACATACAGATATTTTAAACATTGCAATCGAATTCTACAATTAATAGCTTAATAGTTACCTGCATAACTGTTCTTAAAGGCAGTCGATCATTTCGTGCAGCATGTGTGCATGCATCGATTGAAAGCTTTTGACATTCCATCGCCCTGCATAATCTTCTTCTGTCATGTTCAGAGAGCGAAGGATGTGCCTGGTTACAAAATAAATATATAACAGTTCCGGAAGCAAGTTCCATCTTGAGAAAAAGGATAAAAGTGAACCAATAATTAACATATGGCACCTTCAGATATATATCAATTGCTCGGTAGAGTCCATCGTCACAAAGTCGAGCATTATCTGGTAATGATTCAGCAATCACCTGAAACTTGGTCGCAGAAAGGTTTGGGTCTCCTGCTATTTCCGCAAGGTAATTATCTAACAGTTTACTAATACTTGCTTTATCATGACCTTGTATTTTCTGCTGCTGTCCATGCATCAAGTAATATTCCAATATCCTTTGCACAGAATCGACGTTGTATAAAGTCTGCTCTGCGGTAGATCTGTACAAAAACTTGATCAAAGAAAGTAATACTAGTATATAATAAATCAACGAAGGAAAGAAAAAAAGGTTTGAAAGCTCACTTCACTTGCTTTCCTTGTTCTCCTGTCGTGTATCCAGGTATCAGAAGATCGTACACACTAGCATTTTCCATAACCATTCCGATTCTTTTCTCAAGCTCGGAAACAAAAGCTGGTGACACTGAATAAACCATAGCCATTTTCAACATCCACAACAAAAACTTGCAAGAAATGGCGTCTTTCTGATGGGGTAATATGCTCACCAGGCTCTCTATGATCCTTCGTTGCTCTTGATACTGTCCCAATTCCAATTCAGGACTCCGACCTGGCAGAATACTCCATTGCAGCTCATTTTTTCCGTTGGTATATCTTTTCGATGGTTCAATGTCTCCATGATCAGTTCCTAGCAACCATTTTTCGGCATATATCATGATGCATGAACCTAGGAGATCCGGTCTAAGTCCTTTCAGCGTCATTGATGTTATAATCTTCAAAAAAATATCAATACGGAGAGTGGCAACATCATTTAACCACCGGCTTTGTTCACTGGCAGTTTCTATTGTCGTAAAGTTTCCTTCAGCAGCCCAAGCGATTGAATCACAACATCTTCTTACAATCTGGAGATTTTCAGCCCATGGAGAGAGATTTTCACACGACTTTAGGACAGTAATTGAGTCCTTCCATGAAGAAAACACTACCAAAGTGAGGAAAGATTCGGTTTTAGAGATAAGGTTTCCATCTTCTAATTCCTCAGTCATGTCTAGGAATTCCGCTGCACATCTTAATGGAGCTGCGTTTCTGGGGTTTAAAGATACTGGAAGACCGTAGCAAAATTTCAGGACGATTTCAAACGTTTCTGCTCCACCTGGAAAGTTTTGTAACTTCAGCTCGTAATCCTTGTTTGATATTGAAGGTTGTAGATCAATCTGTCCTACATAAGCGCATCTTGAAAGCAGCGGATACTGAATATACATCACAGAGTGTAGTAACTATTATCTCTAGTAGAGAATTAAATGTGACTCGGTCTCAAAACGGTCCACAATATATAAATGTAGCATTTGGAAGTTTAATGGTAACCATTTTACTTGTTTTCCTACTAAAATAAGCTATTGAAGTCGGCTTTTCATTGAGCCTTGCGTTGAATCATTTAAAATTCACTACATCAAGTTATGACTCTCGTTGTACATGAAAGCATCTAATTTTAAGTCATTTGAGTTTCTTTCCGTAATTTGATATTGTTTAGTACTATAGGTTGATTTGGCTGGAGAGTGTGAAAGTCACCTTTCCAATGAACCTTGCCATGAAATTTTTGGAATTTCCTACATAAAGTTACGACCAACTATGTGACGATGTACATAACGGCATTTAGTTTTGAGCCTTTTGCGTTTCATTAGGTAAATGTCAATTAGTTATTTGATTAGATCGAAGCTATTAAAGACTAGTCTTCTTTGTTTTAATGTGTGCAGAGGGTGGTTTATATATATTTAGTAAGATTGCTGTAAAATTCTGGCATCTCTTCCTCCAACCAAAGTCAATTTGTGGCCTACAAATACTGTGCGTGTCCAACACTCAAAGATGATAAAACAACGAGTTTTAAGAATGTATTAATTTCACATCCACGGACAGTAAAAACATTGTGCAGGATAAAGATTTTGTCCAATATATGGAAATGAGTTAGATCTTGCTCTATAATATACTTGCATGTGTTTATTTTTGCTTACCTTGTGAACGTAAAATGTGATGTCATCAACTTTTACGGTTAAATCTGATGGAAGTTGAGATACGGCAAACCTGCGCACGCGAGAAGAAAACTCATGTAAAAGAAAAGAATTGAAAACAATATATTATGATGAGTTTGTTACCATGAATGGCCTTTTTTCTCGAAGCTTTCTGCTATAGAAGTTGGCGTTAAAGGAACCACCAAGTTATGGTGTTGCATTGGGGCAGCGTCATCGATCTCAGGGCAATGTGGATGAGCCATTAAAACAGAACTGTGCATGGGGATTGTCTCTTCGTATGGTTGGGTTTTATAGGACTTGTACTGATCCAGGGTTTTGTAAGACTTGCAAATTTCATTTTTTTTTTTTTTTTTTTTTTGATTTAATATCATGTGTACGCTATGTGGGACTTATAATTATTAATGTTGGAGAAAAGTTTGTGGTGTTGAAGGAGTTGGTTGGACGGTATTAATTATGAGAATGCAACAAGTGAATGCAACAAACAGAATGTCTGGGCATTAGGCCACCACAAGTCACATACTAACAACGTGTATCCATAGCACACCACTATCACTTTGTGGCTTTCATACTCTTTTAATAAGCTAATACCCAAGGCAGTGGTGCCGAGGGGTGCCAAAAGCCACCTCAACCGGCACGTTCTCGAATTACACTACAAGAAAAACCAGAATTAGCGGCGACAAAAGTCGCCGCTAAAGACTAAGGAAGTCGCCGGTAAAAGTCGTCGCTACTGCTATGTCGCTATTGCTCAAAATGTCGCCGGTAATACCCATGTCGCCGCTAATGATATTGTCGCTGGTAATTCCTTCGTCGCTGGTAATAACAATTTTAATTTTTTTTAATCAACGATTTTGATGCAAAAAAAAAAAAAACGATATAAAACGACATTAAATGTAGAAAAAAATACATAATATTAGATTAGATACCAAATAGTGTAACGACATGATATATAATTAATTTCATACCAAAATAAACAACCAAAGTTTTATAATTACAACAAGCTAGTACCAAAGTGTCACGACAAGTGTAACATACAAAAAACAAACTAATTATCTGACGAACCATCATTTCTGTTCCCGTCGTTTCCTCCTTGATATTTCCCCAGATGAAAAAACCCATAAAGCTCATCCCTACATGCCGGGTCGTTGAGCATTGCCCGAAGATTTTCCAACTATATAATAAATAAAACATATATAAACTTATAAGTTAAATTATCAAACATAAACAAAAACCACCAAAGTATATTGCTATTTCTTGCACTTAAATACAATAAATACCAAAAGTATATTCCTTTTTCTTGCACTTGGGGCAAAAACACAACTACCAAATCAACATGCATTTATTGTGAAACATCCCAAAATACGACCCACAAATTTTTGTTTTAATATTACTAAAAGTCACATCGTCGAATGTCAAACATAATAAGAACCATAAAATGAGTAACTCAAAAGTCAAGTAACTGTGTCAAACAAATACTGTATCAATCATATCAAAATATCTGAATAAAACTCCCAGGATAAAACTGAAGCTGTGGTGTGTGCCATGCCATCATCCCGAGCTCTTCCCCTTACTTGCGGAAGTACCTGAAACCAAAAACTGAAGCTGTAAGCACAAAGCTTAGTGAGTTCCCCAAACTACCACATACCATACAATGACATGTAAGCAAATACTGGGCCCCGCCCACTTCATCGGGCCCCGCCCGGCATCGGACCGAAGTCCGGAACTAGCTTGGGCCCCGCTCGGCATCGGACCGAAGTCCGGAACTAACTGAACATAGCATAGCATAATCATAACTACTGGCATAAACACATATACTGCATACTGCATCGGACCGAAGTCCGGAACTCATATCACAAAAACATGCTTGAATCACAAAGACATCAAGCACACTGAACTATTGCATCAGACCGAAGTCTGGAACTACTGCTAACTAAACGGGTCGGCATTGTGGCTGTAGACCCGTTCCTACTGGAAGGAAACTCACCTCGTAACGCTGGCTGCTGAGGTGCTAAATCTGAGACTGTCTGACTGCTGCTCCGGAACTCCCCGGCTACAAATCCCATAAACACTAAATCAATTACAGATAACTAATCTCAGGGTAAAATGACTATTTTACCCCTGGTCAGAGTCAACTTCCTGGTCAAAGTCAACTTCCTGGTTGACCGGACTCGCCGAGTAGGGCCGCCAACTCGCCGAGTCCCTTTCATCCGTTCTAGTCATATACTCGCTTCTACTTGTCGAGTTTGGCAAAGACTCGACGAGTTCCTCTTCGATACATACAACAAGTCTAACTTCATCCGACTCGCCGAGTTGTATGAACAAATCGTCGAGTTCTCCTTCATCATATGAACACGTCCAGTCTGCGACTCGCCGAGTCATAAGAACAACTCGTCGAGCCTGAAGAACAACTCGCCGAGTCCCAAGCATGTTATTACTATACAGTCGATTCTAATCGATTTCAGTGCTTCCAAATCATAGATCTGAGCTTCTAGGACCGGTTTTACACGTAAAGTTTCCAACTTTACATGCATGCACAAGGGTATGAGGCTAAAATACCCAAAAGCATCAAGTACTAAGCACCTAGGGTTTGGAACAAGGCCATGATTGCATAAAGGTGGCTATAATGAGCTTCTGGAGTTGAATAAAGTCCAGATCTAAGGTTTCCATCCAAAGGAAAGTCCATATCTCAAGTTTTGAATCCTATAAGGCTCCATGGAAGACATAACAAGCATAAAAGAGGGTTTAATGGAGGAATACACAAGGTAATAACTTTATTACCTGAATGAGAAACAGATGGAGGCTAACTCTTGGATCTCTTTTCTTTTCTATGGACCTTCTTTCCTTCCTTCTCTTCCAAAGCTTCCAAACTAGCACAAACACACTCAAGCTCAACAATGGGGGCTAGGGTTTACAGGGGAAATGCTCTAAGGGTGCTGGAGGCTGGGGTGGGAGGCTATAATGACGTTTATATAGGGTACAAACCCTTGAAATTAGGGCTTCATCCAGACAGGCAGACTCGCCGAGTCCCTTCATATGGACTCGCCGAGTAGCCAACTTAAATTGCGTGATCATCCCGTCTCTACTCGACGAGTCGGGCTACAGACTCGTCGAGTACCCCTTAAGAAATGAAAAATTACTTTATTAAAGCACATACCAGGAATGGGGCGTTACATATTGATGGCAAAGTACATTGCTATTTTTAAACTAGGGATAAAAAACCAAAGTACATTGCTATTTCTTGCACTTAAAACATAAACACAATTACCAAATCAACATGCATTTATTGATCATTATATAGATACATAAGACTTTAAAATTAAATAATCTACTATTTTTGTGCTAAAGAACCTTAAATACAAGAAATATAAAAGTACATTGCTATTTATTGCACTTAAATACAAGAAATACCAAAAGTACATTACTATTTCTTGCACTTGGGACAAAAACACAATTACCAAATCAACATGCATTTATTGATGCCAAAGTACATTGCCATTTTTTAAACTAAGACAAAAAACCAAAGTACATGGCTATTTCTTGCACTTGGGACAAAAAACCAATTACCAAATAATCACCACAAACCAAAATTACCAAATCAACATGCATTTATTGAAATTAAATAATCTTGTTTTGCTTGTGATGGCTGCGATAACTGTGGTGGTGGCTGCGATGGTTGTGCAATCGGCGGGATAGCAGAAGGTTTTCGGCCGATGCCTCTGATATGGTCACGCCGTTCACCTAATACTCTCTTGAAAGTAGCTCTTTTTTGAGCGGGTGTTAACTCTCTTTCACCTTCTAGCCCTTGTGTTTATTTTAAGAGCTCTACCACCAATTAAGTATAAATAAATACTTAATTATATGATGAAATTATAATTAAATACTTGTGTATTCATCATCCGCCTCGACAGTAACAAATACATCATTATTATCAGCATGTGCTTTGCGAAACGTTTCCACTCTCTTCAGATTCTGTTTAACATTAAAAATTAGATTATATGTTAAATAAATAATTAAATATATCGTACGTTACCTTCTTATAGCAAGTACTACTATACGAGCTCGACCCCCCACGGTCCACGATCGTTTGCATGTCACAAACTTTTTTGTTCCTTTCAGAAGCAGCTTTGTGTTCAGGCGTTTGGAAATTCTCAACTTCTTTTCTCCAATTTTCAACCTCCATATCATGTGGGGGTTGAATAATCCTCTCGGGATATCCTCATACCTTCCGACTTCCAAAAAATATTATTTTGCATCAGTTTTACGCTCTCAATAACTTTTTAACACAGCCGCTTCAAAACTTTCTAACAGCATAGCAACGTCTAGATCCCGGGACATACCATCCAAATCAAACTTTGTCTACAAAAACAAAAACAAAAAAGTTAGCCAAGTAAAAACCAGTCTTAGTTAAGCATATAAAATATTCTTATATAGATAATTTACCCCTAAATGTTGTTTTACGGTATCCTTTATTGCGGGGGAAACTATTTTCCAAGTCCATTTATCACAAGGGATCATCCGCCACATTATTTTCCCAATTTCGTGTGCAAACATGTCCTTCTCTTCTCCCACGGGGTCAAATGGCGTATCCCTATCATAGCACATGTCAATCTGTTTGCCCTTATTTCGTAAGAGCGTTTTTTCGAGCTTAATGTTTTTCGCTTTTCCTTGGACTCTCCTGTGTGGCCCAACTACAAATATAATTAAAATTATTAGAAACGGTATTTTATAATAAGTGAATAAAAATAGTAAATAAAAATTCATAATAAGACTTACCATCATGCTCATGATGACCAGCAACTCTACCGTCTGGGAAAAGTGGGTCCTCAGCTCCATTACCCCCATGTCCACGACCCATAACAGCAGCCATGGTGTACAAACACACACACACACATATATGTATATATATATATATATATATATATATATATATATATATATATATTAAAGAAGTTCACTCTTATGAATAGTGAACGTTGTGGGTTTTTGGCATCTTTAGTCCACCTATTTACATCTTTTCATATTTTGTCCTTCCGTTTTTAGGGTTTTCATATTACTCCCTTAGGAACAGTTCCATAATGCCATTGGTGGAATTTTTTTTTTAATTTTTTTTGTTTCTTTGTTGCTGGCGCACTACGCGTTATGTCCTCAGACAACCCACCGCCCATAAACACTTATGTCGATGTTCCCCCTCTCCAAAAACCTCCATCTCTCTCCACCGCCCATAGACACTTTTGTCGATGTTCCCACTCCACCACACCACCAACTCCATATCTATTCCATTTTTGAACTGATGGTCGATTTTTCCCTATTTGCTTTGAAGGGTTGGT